GAACCCTCATACAAGACTGAAAGCATGACGTTTTCATCTGCTTCAACCTTTTTTAGACAAAGTAAATATGATCTCAAGTATATTTACATCGTAACAAGGTCTGCATACTAGAGTTCTTATAGCTTTTGAGTTGAAGAAGAAGCGCTGAGAAATCTTGGAGTTCTGCTTTTCCTCCACAGGAAGATGGTTCAGTCTGGATTCAAGTTTCCCTGGCTGATTGTACATAGGGTATATAAGGATGCTATTAAAATGATATTAAACTTTTTTTTACCTAGTTATTTTAATATATTATTAGATCTAAAATTATTATACTTCAGTAAATTTATTTAAGATATATGTTTTACTCATCCTATAAAATATTTTTATATTCCACTTTTTCTTTAACACGAGTGCAATTAAATTGTTAAACAATTTCGTTACCTCGAATCTGTGGATCATATATGATTTTATTTCAAACATTAAGAAATTTTTTTTTCCGGCTAAACCACCATATATTGAAACACATTCCATTTATACTACGAACAAATACCTGCTCTCCGATGTATATAAAAAACAACTAGATTCCTCAGACGGATACCGTACACTATCTTCGGCCTACCTTTGACAGAAGGATGACTTGTGACCCACATGTTAAAATGACAGAAACTAAATATATACTTACTTAAATCTAGATTGACATACTCCTGACATATATACGGTACTTCTAAAAAGACCAATCAAAACTATTACGACTCATAACTAAAATACCTTGGTACGTTACTAACAAAACCTTACCTAGTGACTGTCACTTGCCTACAGTTGACAACAAATAAGGATTCTTTACAAACGATTTCATGCTAATTTACACAGACAACTTAACTTACTTATAACAGATATGGATTCAACCGACATCAATACGATAATTCGAAAGTCCGTGCAAAAAATTTTTTATCATTTTTATTAAAAATATCCGTATTTTCTACCTGTAAAATTGTTGCCTGGCCTATATATATTTTCCATTTTATATAAACAATAATTTTTTGTTTGTTTTCATAGTCACAAGTCATCTTGAGATGCAATTTCATTATGAATGATTTTTACATTTTAAAAAAGATTATTTCATTAAAAACCGTTACTTATGGATGACAAATGACAGAGATGGATTTAAATTTTTTTTTTGCTTATGTAATGTGGAAAATATATATAGGCCAGGCGCCAATTTTTGGTTGGGTACTTTCCAAAGAAAGTGAAAGAATGTTAAAAGTTTGGGAAAGGGAAGTACTCAGAAGAATATATGGAATTGTCTGCGAGAACGGCAACTGGAGAATAAGAAAGAATGAGGAGCTGAAACAAATGGTCCAAGAACCAGATCTGGTTTCTTTTGTTAGAAAGAATCAGTTGAGGTGGCTGGGACATGTAGAGCGGATGCCGGCGAATAGGATACCCTGGTGTAAGCCTGGAGGAGAAAGAGTTAAAGGATGTCCACGATTAAGATGGTCAGATGGAATGGAGAGAGTATTGAGAGAGATGCAAATCAGAGGATAGAGGAGACTCGCTCAGGATAGGAGAAAGTGGAGTAGGATAAGGATTGTAGGGCTGTAGCGCCATGGGGTAATTAAGTAAAGTGGAAAATATTACCTAGAAAAATATTCCAATGAAGATGGGTATAAATGAAAAAAAAAATTATAAAAAAAAGAAAAAAAAAAGAAAGGATCACTTTATTATCCTTCCTTACAAAATAATGAGTGGATGATAACATATGCATATGATGTACTTACTGTACTCCTTTTACGTAAACTAAACGTCATACGAGGCGCCTACAGGATAAAATGAAATAGAATCCTTTAAGAGAGACCTGTAATTTAAGTTTGTAGCAAGAGAGAGAGAGAGAGAGAGATGAGAGGGCGCTAAAACATAGCTAGTGTCCTTAGTCCTCAGAGTCCTGGCAGTGGAATCCTTAATAAGAGTTGCCTCCGCGAGATCCTTTGATCAAAATGGCGTATTCAGCCGATATCAATTTGACTGAGTCATCAAAATTCCGGGCCAGTAAACCTGGAGGTACTTCCCCTCCCCACCCTTGTCAGGATATTACCTCTTCCATAATTTTCAGGATTAAATTTGATCCTGGCTGTAAAGTGATAATTAGGAGAGTCGTCATAGCTCGGTGTCTTTGACCTCCTTCTCTTCTCTCTAATTCGATGGTATTTTTCATCTTTTCGTCTTCTTTACTTAAGGTATAGAGGTTACTTTGAAATGTTGAAGATACCTATTTATTGATGAAACAAATATTCGATAAAAAAATTTAAACTTAATAACCATTTAAGAAAAAAAAAAATGTTTCCAAGAGTAAAAAAAAGTTATAGAAAAAACCGACCATGAAACTTAATAGCATCCAAACAGTAGCAGGTTTTTTATTTCAAACAATTTTTAATAACTATAATTACTCAGATAGAAAAATGAAAAAAATCTAATATAGAATGATATTTAAGTGGTTCTTGAAGGTAAAAAATTGAATATGATTTAAAAATAGAATATATTGTGATGTTTTAAGTATCTATCTTATTTTTTTTTTTTTTGTTCTTCGCCATTTAAGTTATACGGGGTTTTTCCCGTGTCAAGGTGGGGGATAAACGCCAGAGGTAAAAGTCCCCGGGCACCAGGGTGTGAACTCGTATATATTTTACTATCGTTTGTCAAGTTGCCGGGCAACGCGTGACGTTCACATATTGTTGGTATGATAAAAAAAAGATATATTTTTCCATTTTGGGGGTGGTTTCAAGTTTCCCTCCACCCTCCACCTTTTTTTGGTTTACATCAAATTACAAAGGTTCATTAATAAAAATATAAATGGAAATGGTTAACGGAAATAATTTAATGTGTAGGCTTATTTTATTTAATTCATTTAAAAAAATAATTTCTTCATTTACTTAATTCTACAACATTCCAGAAACGCAATGATTTACCAGACTTTTTTAATCATCACTATTTGGAACCTTGAAGAAGAAAAAACCCTTTTGGCCGAAATATCAGCAAGATACTTTTTTGAGAGGAGTGTTCGACCCAAAAGATTTTTTGTTCAAATATATAACGATAGTGACTTTGAAAAAAAAAGTAGAAAGAAATGAACTACCTATATTAAAGTGATTCTTGAAGTTCTTTAACAATAATATTTTAAGAGATAGTTTTTAATATTTTTTTCTATAAAACATTGTTATATTTTACCGTTTTGGGGGAGGGAGATGGGGAGGAGGGCTTCAGCTCAAAAGCCCCCCCCATATATCCGGCTATGGTGTAGTTTAATATGAAACCGGGAGTAAAGAGTGTGTTGGTCCTTAATTGGTTGTTCTAAGTCGGTAAAGTTTTGTTGTTTGCGTATAAGGATACAAGGATGCTGTTATTATTCTTAAAATTTTGGATTGAAAAGATTGTAGTTTTTGTGAGTCTTTTTTGTTGAACCGTAAATCTATGAGGCTTATGTCCAAACGGGTTTAACTAGGTATGTTTATATATTCCGTTTTTATTTAATTTTCAATTTTGAATTGGAAAAAAACTGAGTTTAGTATTTTCAATTAAATGTTAAATTTCATATTTTCAAATCTTGTTTCTATGTTTATATCACAACGTGAGAGATAAAAGCACAACATTATAAGTCTAAAACACTAAATTAAATGCAAGTTCAAGCAGAAAATAAAATTAGGTAAATTCGACTATTGCAATCCTTAAGTTGTATTGCAATCTAAGTTGTATGGTCTATTGCAATCTATTTAGAATATGTTTCAGAAACAAATGAAACGAATCAGGTGTTTTATATGTTTCTGAATTTTAAGAGAAATAAAAATTGCGGACATGGATATATCAGTGATCACATTAGCTCCAACCTATGGCAATTTTAAAATGAGAGCAACAGAAAATGAAAGGTGCTTAATTCCTTAAAAATAAAAATTAATTTTAAGAGTAATCCACACTCCATTTGATTTCTCTTGAAGAATGGGTAAGCCCACAGGCGGATCTATAGGGGAGGGGAGAGGGGGCTTTCGGGCTGAAGCCTCCTCTCAAAATGGTAAACTGTAACCATGTTAAACAATATTAAAAAATTATTAAGTATTATTGTTCATGTAGCTAGTATCTTTATTTTTTTTCCAAAAGAGTTATCATTATATATATGAAAAAAAAGCTTTCGGGCTGAAGCCTCCCCACAAAATTAAATCCTGAGTCCGCTAGTGGGTAGGTGACATACACTAGCCCAGAGAAACACCTCTTTTACACGCTTTTGTTTCCCATGGTTTTTGAAATATGTAAACGCGACTTTAGATTAGTGCTAGGTTTTGTGTAATTTGCTGTAAATCACAGATTCTAAATTATAGAGCATTTTATCACAAAGAAGCTACAATATCATACCTCCAGAGCACTAATCCACAAAAAAAAATAAAAAATAAAGGTGAAAAAAGGGTCGGTCAATAAGTTAATGACAACCAACAGTGAACCGATCGGATTTCATTCACTTTCACTTACCACTCAACTTCCTTACTATAAAATATATTTGCCACGTGTTCCTCCTTTTCAGATACACCATACAGAAGAAGTCGGAGCCCCTGTGTGAATATACATACATTCAAACCGGGGTTCCGACATCTTCTATATAAAAAAACTAAGGGGTGTGCTTTAGACCACAATATATAAGTGAAAACATCAATAAGGCGAGATTAATAATATGAAATGATAAATAATAGCTCATTATAAAGAGGATGAAATGCTGAACATTTCCCTCACAGTATGCAAGTCCTATTTTTAGTTTCTGAGATATTTTAATCCATATCTTCCATAAAATTCATCATTTGGTTTTCGACACTATTTTCCTTGTTACGATTTTGCCATAGATTGCATGTACAATAATTGATAAAGCAATCAGCATTGATTCTCACAACAATTAGTTCCAAATTTATGGAATAGAAAACATTTGAAACCTGAAGAAAAACGTCATTGTATATACTTTATTAATGTTTATTTTATCCATATACTTTTCAAGGAGCGATCGGCCTTAGAGCGGTGAAGAGCTGTACTAGAGATACCGGGCAGTGCGGGTAGAGGTCGGGGCAGTTGTAGTCCAACAGGCCTGCCCTCCTAGCTCCCAGGTAGCGCCACTGTTCCTTAGGCTCTGATTCGCTAGCTTCTTCTTCTGGAAACCTGGCAAAGAAAATATTAAAGTAAAAATAAACAATATTAAAAAAATTTACAATAAAAATAATAATTTAAATAAAGGAATCGTATTGTACAACATCCTATGTTGGATGATTCCGAAATAACAAATCCTTATGTCTCTCAAATATCAACAAAACAGAAACCAGTCAACTTTTTCGCTCATTTAGACATCATCAGGACTAGTGGACAAATCTGTTTATCGTAAGTAACAGTTGCATCAGTTTCTGCTATTTTAAAAAAACAGATACAAATGTTTCAAAATTTGCAGAGAAAAAAAAAGAAGGAAATTTTGATTATATCATCATAGTATATCAATTTCAGAACAAAAAAAGTTAATTAATTAATAATTTCTGATAAAACTAGCATTAACATTTTAATGTCAAATAATAATACATTTTAAAGGGAATAAATAATCTCAAACCCTTCAATAAATCTTTCGGGAACAATTTCGCTTCTACGCAGAATCTTTTATTGAGATGGAATTTTCGGCATATCATCATATATATTGTTTTATCTTCATTTAATCTGCGGCCGATTTCCTATGCTTCTCTAGGCAGATTCTTTTTCAATTTCCTCTTCGTAACTTCCAAGTTGATATAGAGAGCTATATCATCTGCGTGTCCAAGGATTTTATGAATCGTTCTGACGTGGACCCCTACGTCTTATATAGTACTAAGTACTCTTATATAGTACTCCATATTCTATAGTACTAAGTTGAACAGCATAGGCGAGAGTCCATCTCCCTCTCTCAAAGTAGTAATAGTCTATTAACATAATATATTCCAATTTTTTCCTTTTAATTTCTTAGTTAAATACATAAAAAATAATTGGATATAAGACCTATGTACTATTTAAAAACTTTTGTTGAATATTTTATTTTTTTAACTTATAGCAAGAGAGCCGGTGAGAATAAATCGACATTATTTGATAAAAACTTTAAAGCAATTTTAAAAAATATTTATAACATTTATATTTAAAAAATGAGAATCTGCCAGTCGGATCTTGCGACCTGTAAAAATTGCGGCTGGTTTAAATACTGGTTTAAATTAGATCAGTAACTTGAGGATCGAAATGGAAAATTCATTGCGAAAATTTTGAAAAAGTTTTTATTTTTTTAACTTTTATATATGGGTTCACACATGTAAAAAACAAAATTGCTAACACGGACCACCAAGACGGGGCACCGTTTAGGAGTTATTGGTGAAAAAACAAAAACATATAGAAACAAGAAGAAGATCTGGCTTTATTGGCTTCAAAAGTTTTCCCTTGGTGACCCGCGTTATTAGTAATTCTGTTGTGTCAGCGAACAGATCAGAGAAGTTGGGTTCCTCTGCCGTAAATGCGGCAGAGAGTCTGAAACACCAGCCCATGTGCTGGGAAAATGCCCCAACAACTCCCTCCTAATAACACGTCGTCACCACCGGATCAAGTTCGAGTTGATGAGGCTCCTTAGGGAAAGAAAATTCACCTGCTTTGACGAGGTATATTGCCTCGAAAGTGAAGGCTCTACGAGATACGCGGATATTGTCGCATTTCCCAAGACAGGAATACTGCGCTGATCTTGGATCCAACTGTCCGCTTTGAGAGCAATGACCTCGATCAGGCGGGTGAAGTGGAAAGGGAAAAGAAGAACACGTACGATAAATGTATCCCTTTCCTAAAAGAGAAATTCCGTGAGACCTTCGGAGAGAGAGAGTTCACCGTGAGAGGCCTCTGGTTTGGGTCTCGCGGAACGATTCCAAAAAGAACAAGGAGCTTCCTCGAGGAACTAAGTGTCGGCATTAAGGACATAGCGAGGTAGGCTGAAAATATAGTCCTCGACTCCTTGGGAACATTCATCACCACGTGCACGTGAGAGTTTTAATTTATGTATTTATTTAATGAAAAATTTCTATTATATTTGTTTCATATTAAATTTTTTCATTATTAAATTTAATTATAGATGTATACACTTGTGTTTTTTTGTTATTGTTCTATTATAATATTAAGCATCTTAATATTGTGTATAGGAGAGGTGTATAAAGAGAGATAAAGAGAGAGGAGTGAGAGAAAGGGAAATTAAATGTTAAAAAAAAGAAAAAAAAAAAGCATGAACAATGAAAGGGAAAAAAATTTTATATATATATTTATTATACTCCTATAAACTAACCACTTCTGTATATTTATATATAAGTTTATTTATTGTCCTACGTATTAACGAGTATGCTGTGTATATAGCAACCCAATATAATTTGGCAGCAACATTTTATATTTTATATGAAAATAAAGTGTTTCTCTCATGTCTGAAAAATAATTAAAAAAATATAACTTTTCCCACATTTTTTGCAATGAATTAATACAACATTAATTGATGAATTATTGAAGAAATAAAATGTAATGAACGGTTGCTTATTGATAATTCCCACAAAGACCCTTAATTTTCTAATGATTATGGAGATTGGAAGCTAAGATATTGCGGTAAATGCCGATCCCAGATCGAGACAGCTAGCTGCCTGGAGGAGGCCGGACTCCAGAGACTGGACATAGTGATCGACTGGACAATGGGCCTTCATGGTCCAGCACAGCTCCTCAATAGGGCTCCTTCTCTTATCACTTGGCTGATCCAGAACTGAGCTGTCCTCTTCGGTATTGACCATAATCTTGAAGAACTGCCTGGAATTCCTCAGCTATCCCCTCCGTCCAGTATAATTTAACTATATAATTAGTATACTAACTTGGATGGAAACATATTTGAATTTGACATTATAAATTATATCCTCATTTCTCCATTTATTTATTACCCCAGTTAAGTTAAGTAAAGAAATTGATTTTTGGCAGGAGTAATCATGGAACCACATTTTTGTAGGAATTTGGAGAAACTTTAAATCCAAGAACAACTACTATACACTGTGTTATTGTATACGAACTACAATACTTCTAAAGGAAGGAGATGGTCCGTGGTGGCGGTCATAAATAGGCTAAATAGTGGTAAAACTATTTTTATTAAAAGCCAACGTTAAGTTTAAAAGCCACCCCTAACCACCCGACTTTGCTGGTCTTCTTCAGGGCTAGAACGGACAAGATAAAAAAAGATAGAAAATTGTTGAAATTACATAATATTTAGAAATCGTACTCTTATCACACACATTGTTCTCTTATCTATAATCTCTTAATTCTGTTTTATATGTATTTGTATATATACATATTTTTTTTATTTGTTTACTTAGCCTCTTCACCTGAGTGTCATTAACTTAATGTTTCCATTTTATATTCGTTAAGTCGATAAAAGTGAATATTCTTTAAATATTTGAACAGTTTTTCTATTTCATTTTTCTCATCTTGCAGAATTTCTTTCATTTCCGTTCCCATTTGAATGTTTTTCCTTATATTAGCGTACCTTCTACGTTCTAATAATATATGCTTTACTATTCTGGGTGCTAGGCAATGTGTGCAAGTTTATTTATATTATTTATAATATTCTTATAATATTATATTTTTTATAGTATTTATAATTTAATATTTCATACATATAGTTTTCCATTGCATCCATCCATATCTTCAAATTTTAGACACTGTAATTTTCTAGGTTTTTCCCAAACAAGTCGACAAATTCCCCCATACCTGTCCTGACCCTGGTTTACCAGTTTTATCCTAGTATCCTAGCTGAACACACCTGTAAATCTCTATTATATTCTTCTAATTTTATTTACTCATTTATTTAATTTTTGGTTACTTTTTCTTTTCTTTCTCAACATTCCTTTACGTCTATTATTTCTTTTTTTTTTTGTTTCAATATCTCCTGTAGATCTGCAGATGTATATTCACATTTGCATTTACTATATATTACACTACAACAATGGTTAGCATCTATTTTCTTCAGTTTAGGATCTTGTTAATTAGCTTACTTTGTTCATATTTCAAAGTACTTACTGTTTATAATTCGAATAAGCTTATTCACATTGTTTATAATTTTTTGTCTAAATATTATGTAACTTCCACAATTCTGTATCTTTTTCTATCTTGTCCGTTCTAGCCATGAAGAAGACCTGCAAAGTCGGGACGAAAAGTTGGCTTTTAATAAAAATAGTTTTACCACTGTTTAGCTTATTTAGGACCGCCACTTTGGACCATCTCCTTCCTTTAAAATATTTCTAATTCTACTTTCGCTTGCAATATTTTTACGAAGAGAAGAGCAATAACATTTTTTGAGATGGATGGGGAGAGAAGGTCATGGTTCAAAATTTGAAGAACCTGAGGAAAAAATATTGGCCAATGAGCTGAATGTTTAACTTAATATTTTTTATTAATAATAAGGCTTAGCGAACCCGAATATTCAATGCCGATACCAACAATCGATGACCACATTCCATCTACCGGACGACGTCTGAATCCAACTCTGCCAGATCAGTTTTATCTCAATCTTCCCACCTTCGCTTTGGTCTACCAGTCAAACGTTTGCCAATCGGCACAGCACATATTAACTTTTTAAGAATTTTTAATATTTTTTATTAATAATTAAAGATTACATAATTATGTGCGTTGATGTCAAAGTATAATCTTACACTTAAACTTTTACTAAGCCGATCAACTAGCGCCGCAGGAATTCATATGACAGAAAGACTCAAATTTCAAACAATAATGATTTTCTTATCTAAAATATTGAGCATTTCATCTATTAACCCTATATGGCCAGTGAGAAAACCGTTACATACAGACTTACGGACCGCTTACAAAAACCGTATAGTAGAAAGCTTAGCTGTACATTAACTTACTCAAACTGAGAGAAGACAAATTCAAATACCTCGGTACCATAATAATCCCAATAAATGACCAACGATCACAGCCAATGAGAAGCGTATAATAATCTCAAACAGAGCTCCCTTCTCTCTGTCAAGGAGGTTAGTGGTATATTAGTTTAATAATAATTAAGATACATACGATTAGACATTTCACAAACTGTAGGAAACATAAATGTCTAAACCGGTAGTTTTTCTACGGTGGTGTTTTTGTATCTTGTTTGAGCCCGTTTCATGTGCTGTTGATTTTACAAGATAAATCAAAAGGACTTTGGATAAGCTTTTGAGTCGCTTTTATACATTTGTTTACTATTTGTATTGAAAGAGAGACGTTGAAGTAAATGGTTCTCTTTATGTAACCGGATCTATTAAAAGAAATGAAACATACTTTTCTACTATGAATAAGCTGAATACATTAACTTTAAATCTCTCATATAAGAAAATGCCATAATCGATATTTGCAATAGTTTTTAAAAATTAGATAACTTAACTGGCCAAATTTCAATAAAAAAGACATCTTATTAAGTTAATATAAATATCCAGTTTTTTTTAAACAGGTTCACTTTTTTATTTATTTATTATTTATTAATTTTATTATTTATTTGTATTAACAATTTCAGTTTCAATTGCCAAATTTAAAAATATTTTACATCTCTGTAATAAATATTACCATATTGGTATGTAAAATTTAAATGAATTTTACTTCTTCATTCATTTTTCTTTTGCTTCTTTAAGTCCTATAATAAGTTAGGGCAAACGCAATTAGGGCAACGTCCGTCGTCGTTTGTTTCTCTGGAAATACAGAAACATCTAAGCTGCTTTTTTCTTCAAGTGAAAACTTCCATTCACTTTTATTGTGGAGAGTGAATTAAATGGAACTGCCAGATCTCCGACGTGTAACGCTTGGAGAAAGTCGACTAATTGAAGTGTTCATGCATATGGATTAAAATATTTTAAAAACTATAAATCAGACCTGTATACTATGAGTGAGAAAAATGTGAATCATTTCAGCCTCTTTATAATTCGCTAATATTCAAAAGTTCCTTTTAAGGCAAAGAAATAATAAACCATTGTGAAATAATTTGCAACGTTTTTTCTTTGCTTTCTTCTCAGAAATAGCTTTGAAGAATCACTCCAAAAGGACCCCAATGCTATTAAAAACTTAATATTGTTCCTTAAGAAAATAAAAATATTTAAAAAAATTTAATCACACCTTGTAATTGTAAATGTTAAGTTTTTTAAGTTTGTAAGTTCCTCTTTAAATTGTAAATATACCTGTTAATTTTTTCTCTTTTAATCATAATTTTTAACTATAATGGTTTTTCAATTTTTCTTCTCGTAATTTTTAATATTTAAATTGTACTTCCTAACTTTTCTTCTTTTAATATTAATTCTGTTTTTTAAACTGTATTTTTAGATTATATTCCTGAAATCATTAACCTTTTATTTAAATGTCCTTGTTAACTGTTAACTTATCTTTCTCTAATCTTTAATGTTTAATTCTAATGGTTCTTGTACTTTCTAATGTTTAAACTGTATTCTTTAACTTCGCCTCTATTAGTATTAATTTTTATTATTTAAAAATGTATTTTTTAGCTTTTATTCTTAATATCATTAATCTTTATTGTCTCTGTTATCTCATCTTCTATTAAATCTTTAAGTTTCAATTTTTATAATTTTAGTTCAATTGTACTATCATAATCATCTGTAATTATTCTTAACTTTTCAAACTTTAAATTGTATTTCTTAGCTATAGTTGAGTTATGTGGGTAGTAATTCATCAAATTGTAATATAGGGCGAAAATGACCCAAGTGGTTGAAGAGCCCAAAACATGTATAAATAAATAAATAAAATTTTCTTTGCTATGCTTACCGAAACTGATTGAAAAAGTGAACGAAATTTCATTTAAGTAGCCACATACTCATTTGCTTGTTTATTTTTTCGAATTAGCTTTTCTCAAAATGTCATTTATTTCCAAAGTGAGTCCTAATCATAGTTAACAATTTAATAAAAAAATGGGAACAATTATGTTTTCTATTCCAATTGTAATATCACAACTAACTTTTTTTTTTTAAATGAATTAAGTAATTCCTTATTTGTAAAATATATGTCTGAAAATCACTGATTATTTCAGCAATAATTAAAAACCATTGAATCTTGATTATGGTCCCCTTTTAGAAAGAATATTGAGGATGAAACTACGGCGTATGATGTAAACGTTTTTTTTTTAATGTGAAAACTTCTTTAGGCGCGTATTAAATTTTTTTTGTGGAGAGGGAATTAGATTGAGCCCTCCGATTTCCTATGTGTAACGCTCGGGTAAAGTTGGCTTGAGTATATAAATTGAACTGTTTTTGTATATGGATGAAAATATCTCAAAAACTAAAAATCAGACCTGTATACTGTATGCGAGGGAAATGTTAATCATTTCATCTTCTTTATAAAGAGCTAATAATCAGAAATTCGTTTTAACGCAAAGTCGTGTTAGGCAAAGGAAAAAAAAATATCGAAAACCAAATCAAAACGAGTTTTATGGAAGATATGGATTAAAATATGTCAGAAACTAAAAATCAGACCTGCATAGTGTAAGAGAGGGAAATGTTCAGAATTTCACCGTCTTTATAATGAGCTATTATTTATTATTTCATATTATTAATCTCGCCTTGTTGTTGTTTTCACTTCTATCGTATGGTCTAAAGCACACATCTTAGTTTTAGAAATAATGATTGTTTTGTAACAGTAATGCCTTCTATATAGCAGACTACCCCTGTTGGATATTGATAAAATTAATTACCTATCGATTGCTAATTAAGTCCTTGTTGCTGCTGTAGCCTCAACAATCGTTCCTCTATGGAACTCA